CTTACTTAAGTCTCAGAATAAAGTGCTCTGTGACTGGAAGGAGGTACAATTAACAATTAACTGAAAATGAGCTGCTGTACACCAAACTTTATCTGACATATTTTACTTTACCAAACAAGAACAGCTGCAACAGATTTAAATAAAACAAATGTCAGTTACTTATATCAAAGTCCAAATAAACCTGAAGTGTACTGTGCTCTTCCAAATAATAGGTGCAGGGTAATATTATTAATACCAGCATCCCATGGTATGCACATCCAATTCTTACATCGCTAGTAAGCTAGATTTAGATCGGGCTTTTTCATGCCTTCATACTGTAGGGACGTTATACTGCAGGTGGTTAAACTTTCACTAAAACACTTTTACTCTCATAGGAAGTAAACCTTAGCTAGCTTTGCAATTTTTAATGCTTATTCCTTTTCAAGATTGTCTAGTATATGTTCAATAATCAGTTTAGAGTTTACCTCTGTTTCACCACGTTTTCGTGGTGGGTCTCCCACGGTTTACTTCGGTTTTACACGTATTAGAAATTGCAAGCTTTGTCATTTTCAATCACAAGTGTAGAATTTCCACACTAACAGCATGTTAGCGTGAGGCTGTGAGGCTGTTGCCTGTTGCCTGTGCTGCTGTGTGTAGGACGTGTGGTGCAGGCATTAAATGGACCGGTTCAGTATTGGAAATACATGGGACTGACTGGCCGGTCTCTGGTCTGGGCTGAGCATGCTGAGAATCGGCCAATCCTGGTCCCTGGCCGGTCGATCGGTGCATTCTCTAGCTATAACAGGTTGCGGGCATCTCCATCAGGGTCTGACCACGTTTTCTGGTTCTGAGAGGAGGGGATGAAGAATGTTCTCGTGACCTAACTTTGCCCTGACCTTTGTTGCCTGAGACATTTTTGTCACTAACACTGACTTTTCCCCCGAAGGAAACCCGATTCCGTCAGCGCTACCTGGACCTGATCCTGAATGACAATGTGCAGAAGAAGTTTGTGACCCGTGCCAAGATCATCACCTACTTGCGTAGCTTCCTTGACCAGCTGGGGTTTCTGGAGGTGAGAGCAGTATCCTGCTGGGTGTTCATCAAAACAAACCTTGCAGTCTAATGAAGAGTTTTCACTTTATTTAAGGTTATGAAGGCAATTCAACAAGATTAAGAATTAAAGCAAGATGCTAGAGCAATGTGTTGTGGTTTAATTTAATTAAATTAATTACTAAGATAACGAGGTCTGGAATAAGGGATGTTTAATTGAACAAAAGGGGTTGTACAATGAAAAGCAAGTTTTAATTTCATGCCCAGCATGACGTGCCACCTATGTGCTGGTGACTGACGTTCCCCTTTGGCAGGTCGAGACGCCCATGATGAACCTCATCCCAGGGGGCGCCGTAGCTCGGCCCTTCATCACCTACCACAACGAGCTGGACATGAACCTCTACATGAGGATTGCTCCAGAGCTGTACCACAAGGCGAGATGAATGTCAAATACAGACTCTGCTGGGCCGCTGCTGGGATACGTTTGGCATTTATGAATGAATGCTGAGGAAAAAATACACCTGGTCACTTGCTATCACTTCAGTGTCGGCTTGTGACAACTGTATAGATGGCGATTCTCTAGAACCTCGGTTCTCAAACTGTGGTACCGGGAGTCTCCAATGTTTTTATGAAGATGAAATATGATATAAAAAAAAACCCTTAACCATGAAATCACTGAAATTGAAGTTTAACTAGGTTTTGTCTGTCTTTTTTTTCTTTTTTTTTTTTTAAATAAACTTTTATACTTTTTTTTTTATTATTAAGTATACTCAATGCAGTACAGTTGATATCCCCCTCTGCTGTGCGTGTTTAAATGCAGTACAGTTGTTAACCTATTTATATTAGGAATACAATCGCTGCATGTGTAAACTATATTTGTTTACATGTTTAATAAGGCCTGTACTGCTGTATTTTAATGCATAATTGCCATAATGGTGGTGCTTGGAGAGCCAAATATTTTTGGAGCTGATACTTATTGCAAAAAGTTTGAGAACCACTATTCTAGAATATACCCTCTGGTTCTACAGGCTTCCCAGTGGCACATTCAGTGTTGTCATCTCACTCACGAGTTACATACAGTTCTGGGCAGGACCATTTATTGCATATATATATATTTTCTTTAAAATACTGCTGCTTGCTAGAAATCAGTCTGTGAGAATCTGTACTAAGAGTCTAGTTTGTGTGTAACTCTCTTCCTGCTGGTAGGGAAACTGTGATGAAGCTGAAGGTCCCGTCGTCTTGTTTTTAGTAATAAGAGATTGTTGAAGTACTTTCATGCTTATTTGAAAGCTGCCCGCACCAGCTTGACCAAGGGCCCAACTTCATCCCGCTAACATTCCGTCTCGGTGCAGATGCTGGTAGTGGGGGGGATCGACCGCGTGTATGAAATCGGCCGCCAGTTCCGAAACGAGGGCATCGATCTCACCCACAATCCCGAGTTCACCACCTGTGAGTTCTACATGGCCTACGCCGACTACCACGACCTGATGGAGATCACCGAGAAACTGCTCTCAGGTCAGTCACGGGCGGAGTGGCTTTGAGGAGGACGGTCCTTTGGGTTCGTGCTGGGTTGCTTGGTGGAGTCTTGCACTGATGTTACTTGTGACACCTGCCCTTGTAGGAATGGTCAAGCATATCACAGGCGGATATAAGCTGACCTATCATCCAGATGGACCGGAGGGTCAGGCCTATGAGATTGACTTCACCCCCCCCTTCAAAAGGGTCAGCATGGTTCATGACTTGGAGAAGGAAATGGGTGTGAAGTTCCCAGCCCCAGATTCTTATGACTCTGAAGGTTAGTGTTCGGAAAAATCAATCAGCATTTAAGTATTTTTGTTGCATTTTGTCGGAATGAGCACGAGTAGTAGAACTGAAGATGAACACTAAGAGTGCTAAGCTGCTGACACTCGGCACCGTCTTAGGCAGCCAATCAACATGTTACTTAGATGATCTTTGTTAGTGTAAAACTATGCTATCGTGCCTGTCAAAGTATTAGTTTAGCCATTTCAAAACCCCTGCTAAAATCACCCCATTATTTCCAGCAACTATACACCCCTGTATTTTTTTGACTTGATTTGATTTTTTGACTAATTTTTCAACCACTAGCGCACCTCATATATTCAGTATTCAGCCCCTGGGGAGAGCTTTAGAAACAGAAACGGTGTCCTAGCCATCCTACAAGGTATCAGTAACTTTGCAGAACAGACAAAGTTTTTACTAGTTTTTATTGAGCTATTCTTAATCTGCTGATGTTCTAATAGTGTTTTTTTTCTATTCTGAGCAAATGTGCACATACTGCCCAGATAAATGGCTTTAAGCATTTCTTTTGACTGCCTGAGACTTCTGCACAGTACTGCAGTTCACTTTGGGCTCCTTTGACCTCCTATCGGTATGTAACTCTCCATACATTTGACTCATTGCTTCCTTGCTTCAGAGACCCGCAAGTTCTTTGATGACCTCTGTGCCCAGAAGGGAGTGGAGTGCCCCCCCCCCCGGACTACCGCCCGCCTGCTTGACAAGGTACGTTTTCTGCTTGCATAACGCCTCTGAGATGCCAACCTTGGTATTGACATAACGGTCTCATCATATGAGTTTACCTTTGCAGCTTGTGGGTGACTTTCTTGAGGTCACCTGCATCAACCCCACGTTCATCTGTGACCACCCCCAGATCATGAGTCCCCTGGCCAAATGGTAAGCGATCGCTCTAAACCCAGCACCCCTTCTAGCATCAAAATGCTTTTTGATCACTAACTCAAGCTGTTTTCAGAAACTCATTTTTCAAAGTGATGCAGCAGTTGCTTTGTCCCCCCCCCCCCATGCTTGCAGGCACCGCTCGCAGAAGGGACTCACAGAGCGTTTCGAGCTCTTTGTGATGAAGAAGGAGATTTGCAATGCATATACTGAGCTGAATGACCCTGTCAGACAGAGGGAGCTGTTTGAGCAGCAGTCCAAGGTCTGAACATATGTGATGCCTCCGTAATGATTGTGTCAGTAGATGATATTTATTAACAGTAATAAAAGACCCTGTTGATTGGTATATAAAGGTAACGTATGCGTCCTTACAATTCATATTCGATACATTTAAAAAGAAATGTTTTTAAGTAAGTTTGTTTTATTTAGTTCTTGTAAATGGTGAACTATTTTATCTCTGTGCTTTCTCAACCAGGCCAAGGCCGAAGGTGATGATGAGGCCATGTTCATCGACGATAATTTCTGCACAGCCCTGGAATACGGCCTTCCACCGACGGCCGGCTGGGGAATGGGCATGGACCGCCTCACCATGTTCCTCACGGACTCCAACAACATCAAAGTATGTTTCTGCGTACTAAAGAACATGCAGAATCTTCGCCGTCCTGTTTCGGTTGTTATTGTTATGGCCACTTCATACTTCACTTTTCCACGTGCGCTTTCGGCTGCAGATGAAGGGCAAGTGGCGTGAATTTCATCATCAGGGGTCGGCTGCGGTTAGTGCGTTGTGTCGCCCAGATTTTTATGTCTGGAAGAACCCGTGTGCATCTGTGTGCAACCGTGCACATGCAAGATAATTGATTAGGTATTTCCAGTAGGTGGTTTTCATAGCTCAGCAGTCAATGACACAAGAGTAGAGGAAGAATAGCTGTTGTAGTTATGGTGAGCAGCTGTATGAGAAATGTCAGGGGTCTAACATATCTAATTTGTCATACTGTCTAGACATTATATGAGGTGTGTGGTATTTTAAAAAGCAACGCTATTCTGGCATTTTGAAATATTGGCGATAACATTTGCCAGGTGGGGGTGGTTCCCAGCTGATGTTGTAGTAAGGATTTCCTGGTATGCCTTATACTGCTCAGGCTTAGACTAATAGCTTTAAAACTGTTCATAAAAGTTTACCTATTTCACTACACTGCTTGTATTTGAGTTTGTTGCGATGCATCTGCCCTCTCCTTCACTGGCATGCGATTGTATGCATGCACCGACCGCAACCATCCGTGTTCCGCAGCCAGATGTAGTATGAAGATAAGTTGCCACGGGCATGATTGTCCATTGCCCAAAAATGCATGTGGAAAACTGACGTATGACCTGGCCTTTAGATGTGTCCATTGTGTCCACAACAGAGCATGTGAGCGGAGCGGGCAGAATTTGGTCAGAGCGCGGAGCGGTTTTTTAATTAAGGCTGGAGCGGTCGCTTTGTCTCGCTCCAATTTCGCTCCGATACCGCTCACACTACAATTCTGAGGCGTGCCCAAATCTACCCAGAATTCATCTGTACAATTATCAAGACTGTTACACAAATTGGCCGAGATGGAATTCGCAAAGTATTTCACAAAGGAAACTGATAAATCATACAAGCGTACTATTCTTATCAAACGTATAGATGACAAGAATGTACAGCAAGAACAACAATGTGGTGAAACTGTTTCAGTGAGTAAAGATTCACTTTGGAATCACTTTTCTCAGAAACATGAGTGTGCTACGCGAACAAAACAGAAGCCAGAGCAAAACGTGTGTAAGTTTTATATGGTTTTAGCATATCGAGTCTATAAAGTAAATTAAAGTATAAAAGCCTATAAAGTAAATATTGGTAATCAAATAAATTCGTTTTGTCATTCAAAGTAGGTCTAATAAGATTTTTTTTTATTTCACGTAACATAAAATTTTATTTTAGAGACGTGCTGCATCAACAGAAAAAAATTGAGGAATTTAAAACGTGTCTGTATATTCTTTAGGCTATTAAGCCCACTGATTCCTTTACTTTTAAGCCTATTTTTGTGTGGAATGCCATTTCCAAACCTGTCCGTTGTTGCCTATATGTTGCTTAAAAAGAAATATTTTCTGTTCTGACTGGCAATGTTGCCGTTGCTCACATTTCTTTATGACATAAGGCTTCGGTTCAAGGTGACATTTGTTAGGCATGCAGATTATTTGTCCTTCTTTTAAATTGGAGCGAGCGTGGAGCGATTTGACTGGAGCGGGAGGACATTTTAGTGGAGCGAGGAGCGGTGTTGAGCGGAGCGGCTTAATGCGAATTAGAGCGGAGGAGCGGGCGGAGCCAACAGCCTCGTGAGCGAGGAGCGGAAATTCTCACCGCTCCACTCCGCTCACATGCTCTGGTCCGCAATATATCCATTGCGTTTATATAATGTGTACACAAGCTCTGCACTACCTGCCTTTGTATCAGACTGAGATTGCATTTGTTTTACAGGAAGTCCTGCTTTTCCCTGCCATGAAGCCTGATGATAACAAAACATCCGCCCCTGCCGAGGGTACGTCTGTTTAATGCGGACCCTCATCTGCGGAGGAATCAGCCAGGATTAGCATTGTCTGTCTAAATCAGTTTGATTTTTTTCACTGTTTGTGGTAACTTAACTGGATATGCTGTTAATCTTGCAAATTTCACTGACACAGTGCTATTTTAAACTATTTTTCCAAGATCAAATAAATGGGTTTAATCATTTTTGTTTGGTGTGTGATATAAATTGCCACAAAATGAGCACCAAAATTAGCTCTAAAAGTAAACGTTTATTTTTGAAGAATCAGATACATTGTGCATCAGCTATATTTTAATATGCTCATCCATTCTCTTGCCAATGATTAAATGCAGCAAATGAAAGTTTCATTTGTAGGAAGGTGATTTCAGCAGTAATAAACTTAATCATTAATGGCTTTGTGTCCATTGAATTTCGGTTTTAAGATTGTTGATATATAAATATGTGCTTCTGAGTACGAAAATAGCTGTCCATATGTGGACTGGCATGGAAATTTGTATTACTTGCACAATTAATTTACTCACTGTGCTGCAACACAAAGTTATTTCAGATCAGAATCAGAATAGAGTTTATTGCCAAGTACGTTCACACATACCAGGAATTTGCTTTGGTGGTTGGTGCCAGACATTGGGAGATAAAGGTGTGTGTGTGTGTGTGTGTGTGTGTGTGTGTGTGTGTGTGTATATGTGTATATATATATGTATATATATGTGTGTGTGTGTGT